CAGTGCTGGGGTTCACCACACAGAGGGCGCTTACATTATTTACAGGTATAAAATAAGAAAATAAAGGGGAAACTTTCAAAACAAGATATATACAAGCAATCTATAGGAAGACAATTTTCATAACGAGGTAGAGTTCTTCAATACTCATCTTTTTCATGGGGTCTAAGTCTCCTTAGGTTGGAGGTTCGTGTTCACTTAGAGGCAATCTTGGACCAAAGGTCTAGTGACCTATTTCTGAAAAACCAGCCATGGAGAACATGACCGAAGGCCTGCCCCTACATAGTCTAGCTGACTTTAATGACATGGATGCAGTAAAGCTTTCAGAATCTTCGTGGGCTGATGTGCCATGCCATCTAGATGAGAGGAAACAGCTGCAAATATCCCTGAATAATTAAAATGTGGAATGTATGAAGTATGATGCTAAGAAAACTGGAAGTCTCAAAGATGAAAAGGAACACATAAAAATTGCTCTCTCAGGAGTGAGCGGGCTGAAATGGGCTGAGAGTGGCCATTTGGGATGGTACAATCATGTGGTTTAATGTGACGAGAATAAAGGGACACATGGACCTCTTTGATGCAATAAATTGAATCAAATTGCCTACATTCATGGAAAGAGATAATGAAGTTCAAAATCATCAGTCAGAACAAGGCCTGTGGAACAGACTATCCAATTGGTCTCAGGCAAATTCAAGTTGAAGCTGAGGAAAATTCCAATGAGAGCCTAAGTATGACTGGGGTACATTGCACCTGAATTCACAGAGCAACTCAATAAATGGCTGCCGTCAATCAAATGGAGGACACCAGGAGACTCAGCAACTGGCTCCCAGATGCCGCACAGGTGAAGCAAACAGGAGAAAGGATGAAGAAAAGAAATGGGCAGAGATTTTAAAAGTTAGCGCAAGAGGATAAAGTGTTATAATGAAACATGCAAAGATGTGCAGTTGGAAAATCAAAAGGGAAGAACACCCTCAGTATCTCTCTGCTGAAAGAAGAGAAGGGAAAAAAATCAGTTGCTGGTAACACACGGAGTTACTGTACCAAAAACATTTGGTCAATGTTCATCCGTTTCAGGAGGGAGCGTATGATCAGAACCAATGGTATGAATGGAAGATGTCCAAGTTGTCTTGAAGCTTTGGTGAAACACAAAGATGCAGGAATTGATGGGGTACCAATTGAGATGTTTCACCAAATGAGTGCAAGAAGAGAGCATGCACATGCCCATGCTAAAACGTGGAAGACAGTCACCTGGCTCACTGACTGGAAGAGAGCCTTGTTTGTACCGCTTCAAAGACTGGTAATCCAACAAAATGTAGAAATTATCCAAAAAAGATCATTAAAATCACACACACGCAAAATTTTTTTGAGGATCATTTTAAAATGGCTGCAGCAGTATTTAGCCAGAAATCGAAGCCAAAGTCCAAGGAGGAGTGAAACAAGACCGATCATTGTTGATATCGCATGAGTCTTGGCTAAAAGCAGAGAATGCCAAAAATAAAAAAATACTCACCTATCTTTTATTGATTCTACAAAGGCATCCAGCAATGTGGGACATAAAAAATTATGGATAACATTTCGAAGAATGGGAAATTCCAGAACACTTAATTGTGCTCACGCAGAACCTGTACACAGACTAAGAGGCAACTATTCAGAAGGAACGAGGGGATACTGTTTTAAAATCAGGACAGGAATGTGTCAAAGTTGTATCCTCTCACTATACTTATTCAATCTGTATGCTGAGTAAAGAGTCCAAAAGGTTGAACTATAAAAATGTAGCATCGGGGTTGAAGGAGGGCTTATTAACAACCTGTGGTGTGGAAATGACACAGGCTTGCTTGCTGAGAGTGAGGAGGACTTGAAGTATTTACTGATAAAGATCCAAGGCTACAGCCTTCAGTATGGATTGCACCTCAACTTAAAAAAAAAATCCTCATAACTAGATCAATAAGCAACATCCTAATAAATGGAGAAATGAATGCAGTTGTAAAGGATTTCATTTTCAATCATTGCTCTTGGAAGCAGTAGTAGTCAAGAAACAAAAACACATTGTGTCTTGGGCAAATGTGACGTAAAAGAAGAAGTGGTCCGTTTGAATGATTGCGTTGATGGAGAATACTAAATACACCACTGACTGCCAACAGAACCAGCACATCTGTCTTGGAAAAAGCACAGCGGGAGTGGGAATGGCGAGACTTCATCTCAACATCCTTTGGACGTGGTTATCAGAAAAGACCAATCTCTGAAGAAGGACAAGTTTGAGGAGTGAAAAAGAGGCTCGATGAAAGACATGCACAGCGGATGCCACAATGGTCTACAACATAACGATTCTGAGGACAGACAGGACTGGACAGTACTTTGGTCGTTCATTCTGTTGTGCACAGTGGTCACTAGGCATTGGATCCAACTCTGGGGCAATCAACAAAAAATAACAACACACTTCAGAACAGTTGAACGCTACACACTTGGGGTTGCCAGGTGTCAGAATCATAAGGAGCTGGCTGGGGAACTGTCCTTCAAACTGTATCCGCTGGCAGCAGTGTTTTTCGTCAGCTTACTCTAGGCAAACTGGACTTTTTTTTCCCCTTGCTCTTCAATACATTGAAGAGGTCGTGTGCCACAGTTACTCAATGTAATATGTCATTTGATTTCCTTGGCTGCTACTCTCACAAACATTTATTATGATAATGTGAAATCCTTGATAAGGTCAACATATTGTCCATTCATCGTGTTGCTTATTGGTCTACAAACTGAACTTTTTCTAAAGCAGATTTCTGACTTCTTCGGGCACTTCATGGTATATTTGGGTTAATGCAAGAAAACCCTGGTGGCACTGCTGGTTGGGCACTGGAACTGCTAACCCAGAGGCCTGGCATCAATCGGAGGAGGGAGAGTGGCTGCTGAGTATCCCTGGGAGCTTGTGGCTTAGGAAGTTCATTTGGTTGGGACGTGGACACTGACCCCAGTACCGGAGGGGCAGCACCAGGAAGACAAGCACGCACAAAGGCACTGCTGTACAAAGACCAAACAGCCTTGATGCCAATCACCCACGCTTCACCACCATCCTCCTGCTCTACCAAGCAGAGCGAGCACTCTTTTGAAAACACTCTACATTTGCAACAAAAGGTGGTTGGTGACTCAAAAGATGTTTAGTAACTTCCACGGACTCTACCAATGTGTGGGCTGCTAACCACTGGACCGGTGAGCCACACCCACAAATGAGGAAAAGATGCGGCTGACAGACCCAACACAATAGAAACCTTATGAGGCAGGCTGATCTACTCAGTTCTGTTGGATGGCTACAGTGTACTTGGAATCGACTGGACAGCAATGGGTTGGATAGTCTTATTAGGATTGGTTTTGTTTTGGTTTGGTTTTTTGGCTCTTACATGTGTCACCTCAATGTATAGGAATATATTTATATGGGAAAGCCTTAAAAACACGCTTTTGGGTGGGTGGGGAAACATGCTTGCCACAACTTTGTACACATCTCATGACAAAGCTCCAATTTTAATAGAAGAGCAGTAATACTGAAGGAGCCCCATAGGAAGCCAGCCTAAATTTGGCAAAATCCAACAATCATTTGGAGAGTCGCTGGTGGTCCACATAAACAGCCCACGTACAGGTAACTTAAGATCTGAAGACACTCAAGTGGCCATATGCTTCCACAGTTTAAAGACACTATATTCCTGCCACTTCCCACTTGCACTGCTTTTCTCAGTCTCTAAGTTATTTTCACCAATCTTGAGTGAACAACAACAAAAGGCTCAGCAGAAGGAAACCAGCTAGAGCTTAGGGCGTACGGCGACGGTGATGTACTCTGTGAAAGAGCACGATAACATGGTTTGGGATAGCGTATCAAGACGATGCACTCACCAGTAAAAGATGAATACCATATGATCAATAGATATTCCTCTGGAGTGAAGAAACAAAACACTGGATGATACTTTCTAAAACCACAGCAAATATCCACTTATTGATTACAGAGATGTACTCTTTTAACGTTTCAGATGCAGTGGCATGCATCTGACAGAGAGTTGGCAGAGCCCAGCCTAAGAGGGTGACTGCTGATACACTTTCCATTTGCAGGGAGCAAAGCACTGTTAGGAAGTAAGAGAGGGCCTGACATGTTGGATGCAGCTGAATCGCTTGCTATGGCTCTTCTATCCATAGTCTTTGCAACTCCCACCCAATGACGGGGTGGGGGCACACAAGTATTCCCCTGAAGGTTTCCTGAGTCAGCTGTTCCTTGTTCACTTGTGTAAAATCATATATAAGTGTACACAGTGCTGTCTTCTATCAAGGAATAGGAAAAGTGTCATTACACATGTTACATATGTAATGGAAAAGTTTTAGCTTGAGAAATCTAAACTTTACCCTGATCGTAACTGGCTTCCATGACTTTAGGTCGTTCCAACGCTCAGGTGTTTTTAGAGTACTCGTAAGGGAAGAGAAATTCCAATTATTATTCACAGATTAAAAGTTATTTTTAAATAGCCATTTAATAAAGACAGTTAACCCCTATTCAGACAATTAATACTTAACCTAAGCCAGCATTTCCTCAAGGGCTTCCCATAGGTGACGACCGGTCCACTCATCCTCTCGCAATGGCCCAAGAACTAATCCCGGGAAAATATTATTTGGAAATATAACTGATCTACGTTTCTGACTTGGGTTAGCACCCACTGGGGATGCGTTCTTGCTGCATCTCAGCAGAGGCCCGGCCAGTCCCCCGGTACATTTCAGTAGAATTTACAACTCACAGAGAGGGAACTCAGCCAGGGGAGAGAAAGACGCAGTTTAATACTCCTGCATGAAAAGTGGGATGCAAAGGAGTCTGCAGCAAGACCTGGCTCCACAGTTAGCTCGGAAAATAAAGCAAGAAATGGTTTCAGGTCAAAATAAGGAAATCAAAAGTAGTCAACTATTTCAAAGGAATATGTGATAAATTTTCATCACATATAATTTTTCCCAGAATAGCACCACCTCCCCTGGGGCAAGCTTACCTTGAAGATGGCATTATAGTTGAAGCCCTGAACTTGGTTGTAAACGGATTGGTGGACTCGTAATCAAAATAGTCCTGCCGAGGGTCGCTGAACGCATTGGGTGATTTCAGGCCACAAGGACTGTCCTGGGAGCCCCCGTTGCCGGGTCTGTCAGGCCTCCGGCCCTCCTTCTTCCCCGTCACTCTCCCAAACAGGCTCACTCTCTCCCTTTTCTCCCCTTTGTTCTCTTTTCGGACGTCCACCGGCTTGGGGAACAAATTCACGCTGCTGCCCCACGGTCCGCTGCATTCTTCAAATGGGTTCTTCTTCCGTGGCAGTGTTGCGAATTTCTGGGGTAAGGAAGCACTCACGTTTGTAAATGGGTCATTCTGTCTTCCGAAGGGCGACTCGGCCTCATCCACGCTGCCGTCGGGCTGGTTCATTTTAGACGTGTCAAAGCTTAGTGTTCTTCTGTGTGGAGAGTTGAGACTCCCTGCAAACAATTCTGTGGTTAATGCAGTCGGTGAGACGGCACATCCCACCCAGACACAGTCCCGGGAGCCCACGGGCCCCGAAATTAGAAGGGCACCAACCAACTATAATAACCAAGGGAAACAAACTTCCAAGGTTGCCTCCAGTATCTAGGCCAGTAGCAACCAGTGTCTCGCTACATAACAGGCAACTGACTCGGCTCAGAGAGTGGGGCCCGCTATTGCCATTGACTGATTGTCAAAGACTCTTTAATCCACCCTGAGCATTCAACTGCATTTCTTTCTTTTGAGCAGAGAAGTCTTTTTCTAGGTACTTTTTATGACTATACGATGAAGGCAGGCCCAGAAAGGGAGCGGGAACTCATTTTATCCTCATCGAATCATTCAAGTGCAAACCAGCTCTCACTTCAATGAACTTGCCCATCCTGGGTGCTCAGTAAATCCTGGATGAAGGACTATATATAGAGCATTCGCCCACACCTGTTTACTCTCCTACTTTATAAGTTAAACAGCACCAAGTTAAGGTGAATTTCGGGTCCCGGATGGTATCATGAGAAAAGAGAACCCGGCTTACCGCTTTCCGGAACTGCGCCGAAGGAATCCATCTGGCGCCCAAGATGTGTCTGAGCGATGGTGCCGGCCTTCAGTTTCTCCGAAGACGCGTGGGACCCAGTTAAATCGGACATGGAGTGTGCAGATGAGAGCCTCTGAGGACCCAACAGAAAAGGCTTTTTCGGTTTGGATTTCATCTGGATGTCACTGCTGGGAAATTCAGGATTGGCATCCGGCAAGTGAGTGCTTGGAATGATCGCAGAAGACGTGTCGGAAAATGCGCCGTCGGTTTTTCGGCCTTTCATTTTATCTTTTAATTTTGCGAAGGGCGATCTTGTTTTGTCCTTCATTGACAAGTCAAACATGCTGGCTGTCATGTTATTCCTCATGAACTGGATGTTGACCTTTATCTCACCCCGGTTCTTGGCTCTTTTTCCTTGTTTGGACTCTAATCTAAACCACCTTCAGGAGAAGGAGAAGAAGAAAAGGACTTACACCACGGACCGTGGACTTGGAGATCCTGCCGTGCAGCAATGCCATTTCCGGCAAAGCCACCATCGTCAGGGAGACCGGAGCACTGAGCCTTCTACCTGTGCTGTGACCTGCACCCTAAGGGGATGTCTTAACCTTGAAAAGGTTTCCAGTTCGTTTTTTGTTTGATTTCTGTTTAGGAGGTAAAAACCACGCACCCAAAGTTCTCCTCAAGGTAAGCTAATGTTTCATTTAGAGGAAATATTGCTTATGGCCTAAGAACGCTTCTTAAACATTCATCAATTTAAGTGATGCCAAGTAACATAAATGACAAATCACGGCATTGTTTATGAAACAACCCTTTAGTCCCCAAAACCAGTGCTTACGTGAACAGCACTAAAGGGATAGCTGTAAAAATGGGAGACCACCACACCGAGGTTCCACATGATGCGATTTATACCTTAGGAGCCCTATCAAGTGGGTCAAAGCCTTTCCCTGAGGAAAATGTGCAAACTGAGTAAAATGCAAGAAGTGACGACGACTAGTCATAAATCTTGTGAAGACTGAGGAGGGGAGGGGAAAAAGCTTACATGCTTCCTGTTAGAGGTCATTTGCCTCATTTACTATTGCTACTGCAGCCAAGCCAAAAGAAAGCTAAAGCAAAAGAAAACAGAACTAAATCTTACGTCCTCGGCCTCTCCATTCTTTACACTGCCTGCTGGTAGGAGAGAGGAGACGCTGTTTATTTGGGCTTTGTTTATAGTATTTTGATCCACACCTGGTTCTCCAGTTGTCCGTGTCACAATGGTCATGCCACAAGGCCAACAGTGAAAAAGGAAGAGCAAAGGAGACCCCCCCGGCAAAATGAAGCCCGGAAGAGAATTTCCACAAAGTTTCCACTTTGCTTAATAACGAAGCTTAATACTCATTCCTCCAGACAGGTTATTATTTAAACATAACTCTAATGAAGTGTAACATATTTCCTTAGCCATAAAGGAACTCTGATCTAATTTTACATTAGTTCATTCTCATTGTTACCAACAGAGTAAGCCCAAAGATGGCAATTGCTATCCATCAGGTGGAACACTGGTTCGCAGGTCTCTCCAGGGAGGAGGGCCTGTCCAAGATGCACTGAGTAGTGTTTTGCTTTGTTTTGTTTTGTTTAAGTGCAATAATCTGAGCACCCTTTGTGTTTTTACAAACTGGGCCGCTGGCTTCCTGTGTCCATGGGGAGGGCTATATGCCAAAGCCCCTTATACTTGGGAATTACAGTAAAGATAGCCTAGGGTGGGATGTTTAAGGTAAAGTGTGGGTTTAGACATTTAAATAATTATTAAAAACGTCTGAATAAATGGAAATTTCATTCTTGGAGAATAACTGTAGAAAGAAAAGACACCTCCAGTTATCACCAGTCTTATCCCACTGCTGTTTTTTATTTCAAAGGACTACTTTACATCTTCCTGTCCACCACACTCCAGGAAATTAAAGCGATTAAATAGCAATAGCATATATAACAATATGCATGGGCATTTATACGGGTATAAGAAACAGGGGAAGAAGTTAACGGCCACAATTCTGCAAGTTCTTCCAGGCTCTCCAAGTCTGACTCTCACAAATGTCACTCGGTAGCAGCTGCAGAGGCTCGCAGGGTTCAAAGGCGTCTGGAGTATGCTGCCGGGCTAGCCCCTGCCCCTCTCTAACATGCCTCCAGAGCATCAGCACAGGATGTAATCCTGTCTTCTCTGACACATGCGCGCCGTCATCAGCCTAGGAATTCTGCACTAAGCTTGCTTCTACTTCACTTTTATCCTACTCTAGAGAAATCACCCACAGCTTTCTCATTAATACTGGTACACAGTAAGAGAAAGAAATGAAACAAACAAACAAAACATTACCATCAAGTAGATTCTGACTTGCAGCAACCCCACAGAGAGGCTGGTGGTTTCAAACTACTGACGGGGCAGAGAGCAGCCATGTGCTTCATCTACTGAGTCATCGGGGTTCCAGGGGTATATAATCACACGTATTATTAAGTAATTACACATTTACATTGACATATGCTTGAAAGAAAGCATACACCTGATCATATCATTTCACCCTAGCCTTGACAGGCAGCCTATTCAGAGAGCCTCAACCTAAATAAAATATTTCAACACATTCCATGAGTCAACCACCTTTAGCAAAGACGATCAAGCAACTGAGCTGCTATCTTTCCAAAAGCGTCTCCCACACAGCCCTTAAAACCTACAAGAGTCGTAATTTAGTTACGAATCATGGCCAGGAGGCCCTACTTAAGGCTAAGTCTCACTACAGGAGAACCAAGCAAAACAAAGTAGGCAGACAATACGGTGACAGTCCATCCCTGCCAAGAACACACATGACAAAAAGTAACCAATAAAAGAGCCTAATGCTGATGGCGCCTGCAAGGCCCACAAGCTGGGCGGGAGGGATACTGTCCCTCTGTGATCTTCTGAGAAAAGTCAGGTTTCTGAGGGATGCCAGTGACCAGCCTTCCTTTGTGGACGGAAACATTGGGGTCCCGCTTAAGGCCATGACCAAAAAATACAACCCGTTGGAGGTGGGTACCCAGTCCCTGGCCCCGAGAGCTGGAAGCTTCTTCTGAGTCACCCAGGTATGTGTGAGGTCCACCCTTTCTGCATCATCCTTCCACCCGACTCTGGGGCACTGGAAACCCTGGGCCTGCAAGTGAAACTCCTGAGCTGAAGCTATGTCCCCAACCCTCACCCACCCCCATGTCACCGTCACGCCCCGCTGCAGCTCTGGAGATGGCGTCTTCTCTGCACATCAGCCAGTCTCACAAATTCATACCCAAACTGAAACAACCCTAAGCCAAGGTCAATAATGGTATCGGAAAAAACAGTTATGAGCCAGCAGTCGCAGCAATAAACTTTGGAATAGAGAACCCTGAACCACTAAAACTGAGCTCCCCCAACCAACTTCAAACCCCACCCCCCCAAAATCTGGCAATGAGCTCCGGTGCTGTACCCAGTTACTAACTCGCAGCTGTGGAAAACAAAGCCATTTTTAAGGGAGGAACTACTTTTGATGAGTAATATTCTGTTGCATTATCTGGCTTCCTAGATAATCAGCAAACACACTTGACAACAAATACCAACCCCCAGCCCCTCCCCAGCCGGCCACCCCCAGCATAAAGCTGTGGGTAAGACTCCCAAGGGTGTGACAAATTAGAACAAATCTAAGAAAACACACTAAAAACCCAGTGAAATGGAAAGAGGGTCATCAACATTCACTGAATTCTGGAAATACACCAAACCAACCATCGGCGGGGGCGGGGGTGGGAGGGCGGAGGACAGGAATCAAGGCAGACAGAGCAAGTGACTTCCCAATGCTGGGTTACAACCAGTGAGTTAGGGATCTAGGAGTTGAGGAGTAACATGGGCAAGACAACAGATGTTCTACGGGATGAGCCACAGGCTAATCCGGTTACACACACACCTGGTCCTCTAGTGCCGGTCCCCATGGCCTCAGAAGCCACCCAAGCCAATGAGGAAGTCAGTACTGCTTTCCCCATGTGAAAATGGAAGCTCCTGGATGGAAGGTTGTCTTGCACCACATACAACTGTTTGCTCTCTTATTCAAAGAATCATATTCCTCAAAAATCAACTTATAATGATGCTTGGTTTCAGGGTGGGTTGGTTTTTGTCGTTGGGGAAAGGAAAATCTGAAGATTTAGGTCTGCCTTAGAGCACGATGGCATCGGTGCTTGAATGCCAACTGTAATACACATTCGTTTCTCTCCCGTCTCATATTAAATAAAAGAAAGCTGCACAGAGTTTTTAAGTTAACTAAATATGCACGTCTCTGCAAAGGCATGACAGCTGTCTTTCACTGCTTTATCCAGAGACGGATCTCTACTAGGCAAGTGTTTCTGAGACCTTCCAGAATCATTCCAGGGACAGCACTCAGTTTCTGAGGCTGCATCAAGATAAAATGAAGACCTGGCCTTTGGGGCTTAGTGGATTAATGAGGATTTTTTTCTGTCTCTTTTCACCTCTGGAGTGCTGGATTTAAACTGTATATGGCCTCAGTTCAATATTCAGTGGGCACAGGGCCATGTGCGAAAACCACCACACATGTGGGAACTATTCCCTGGCTGTGTGGTCAGAGCGGGGGACCGGGGACTGGACTGGCAGTGAGGGTGCCAAAGAATAGAACGCAGGTGCCGCACGAAGCCGCCCAACAGGCTTGAGATCTGCGCGTGTGCGCGCCATCCCTACCTCTGGGGACCCCCCCACCCCCACACACACAGCATCATTACTTTTCACAAGCAATAAATAAAACCACCATCACCCACTTCTGCTGTAAAAAAAAAAAAAAAATCAATAGATATTACGTAACAGCTTGAACGATTTCACCATTCTATTATTAAACATTGTATTATTTCCTTAAATCTTGTGCCAGAATCAATCCAGACACCCATTAACCTTCTCTTTCCATGTCCTCGTCCACTAAGTGTTTTGGCTCAGACTCTCCCTTCCACAACCCCCCACGGGGGGCAGCGGTTCCAGCAATCACACTTCCTTGCCTATCCTAACACAACTGGAAGACAGGCTGTAAAACACTTGTCTTCAGCGTCAAAAAAGTAAGAAGTGTGAGCACCCACCCCCACCCCCAGCACTTTTCCTGGGGCTTCTAAATCAGCTGGTAGCCTTCATCACTCACACGGGTTTTCTATAAAGCCCTTGGGACTCTGCAGACACGGTTCGGCAATGTGCAGAATATTAAATATCTTTCTTGCGATACACCGGTGAGTCAAGCCTGTCCCTTACTGCGCCACATGTGCAGCTGGGCTGGGGGGGAAAAGGAAACTATTAAATATATTAAAAAATGAGAATTATTGCCCATAAAGATACCTCATCAAGTATGTGGTCCCCACTTACCCACAAAGTTAAGGAAGTGTTAAGGGTACAGTACAGCAAGGGATGAAAATCCACTTGGAATGCGGCAACATCGCAAGCCCTGATAGCATTTCAAAGCAGCTTTTCCCTGCCCCTAAAGTTCTAATCAATCCTGCTTCACAGCCAGTACACAATGACTCCAGGCAGAGAGGATATTAGGGGAGCGCTCTCGGCCAAATGCACGCTAACTGTGCTGTGGCCAGAGACCAGGAGTTACCCAAGAAGTCACTTGAAGAGGTTCTCTCCCCTCAGAATCTGTGCTTTTGCACTTGGGCCGACTTCCACTTGGAAAACGCATCGTTTCAGACAAGGCCTGTGACGCCACATTTATCAGTCTTCAGAATGTGGTCAGAACTAAGAAATCTGAAGTTACTACGCGAAAAAGTTTTTTAAAACACCTTCACTTAAAATGATACAAATGATTCAGCAATCATCCATGTTGCATTTGATATCCGAAAAACACTTCAGATCTCAAAATCATTGTTACTAAAGACACTGATAGAACCAGGCACTTGTTTTTAACCTTTTCTCTCCTGTTACTTAAAAGGTTTTCATCTTCTCATAGATTATTTACCATTGTTCCTCTTGCCTTCCTACGATTTCTTATCTCTTTACGGTTTGATTCCGCTGTATCACATTAAATCTTAGGTAAAGACCTGATTTTTTTTTAAATCCAATCAAGAGAAGCCCACAGGCAGAAAAGCATAGAGAAGAACAAGAGACTGGTTGTTTTAAGTATGAAAAAAATAATGTGACATATTTAAGAGTTATTTTTTTTTTTAAGAAAAAAAATTCCTGAGTGAAAGAAGTATCATAGCTGTTTAGGAAATTAAGAGGTTAAAGTTCTCTTAGGAGCCAAAAATGAAACAATGAGTATATCCAGTTTTGAAAACATGCTATTCCTCAGTTTAAGATACAGTATTCTGGTGCTAACTTCTATCCCACCACTCCCACTCTTTTTTTAATTACAAAATATCTCACCCAGGTTTGAAAGTCACAAAAGACTCTGTTTTCACTGAACATGTCCTTAAATCATTTCATCACAAGAGTTATCTCCAACATCACAATACTCAATGTGGTCCAGATACACAGGCCTGGCAGAACTAATTGAGAAACCACACACTAGCAAGCCCACAGTGTCAATTCAAAGGAAAACACCACCAGTCCGTTCAAAGTTGGGGACATCTGTGTACTTTTTAAAACTTTTCCCCTCTCTTAACAACTTTAGACTCCACCCCATCACAGTGCACTGACCCAGAGAAACCATCGCATTAAAACACTGGCCGACGGTGCTCACCCTCCTGAAAGGAACATGGCGAGTTCTAAGTTCGGTGGTCTCTGTCAGCTTCAAGATTCCCTGTTTATATTATGATGCTCTGCCAGCTGATTGAATTGCCCTATGTTCTGTTTTAGGGGAAAGTTTGATGTTTCACTAAGAATCATAACCATTTACACTTCGGGGGTTCAACAGGCTGATCCCAGTCCTGGATTTACTTAAAATCCAGTGCAAGGTAGCCAATTAACTGTTTACTACCAACAGCCATGAGAGACCAGAATTTCCTCAGCGACTCCATTAAAAATAAAGTGTTCTTCAAAAAACTATTTTTACTTGGGAAGATCCTTGCAAACATGGTGCTTCAAACTGGGTCATATTTCAACCCCAAAAGTCAATGAATAAAAAAATCCATGAACAAGATAGATTTACTTACCCACTCACTGATGGGAAATAGATTCCTACGCAGGGTAGACCTGCCCCCTTAAGGATTACAAGGCCATCACCCGTCCCCAGAAGCCGACTGCCAAATTTTTCTCCTGAGGAGCTGCCCGTGGGTTTCGAACCACTGGATCTTTTGGTTTTCAGGTGAGCCTTTTGGCCACAGTGCTACCAGGGCTCCCCCTAAGGTAGCCCGGCAGAGCCCCCAAATTAAAAATAGATGACATAACTTACTCTGTTTTCCTTCTCTGTTTGTCCTCAAAGATGTCATTGAGATTGATTGCCACCTGCCCTAAAAACTTATCCAGCCCCACCAGGGACCTGTGCATGACTACGAGGAAAAGGATGTATTTCTCAGGGTTCCCTTGCATCAGCAACCCAGGCAGCTCAAAGGAGGCCTCTTCCTTCCAGACCGGCTCCAGGGTTTTCTCTGCCACGGAGGTGGAGTACTTCTCCTTGCCCAGCTGAATGATGGTGTACGTGTCATTGGTACCACTTTTGCCTTTGGGCTTAAGATCTTTGGCTTGGAGCACTGTGACCTGCACGTGGGTTGGGAACCACTTTTGGGCTTGCTCGGACAGCATCATCCTGCCCCTCGGTCTCCGCACGGCGTTGCCCAGCGCAGGCAGGCAGGGTCCCTGGGGCGGGGAGAGCCTAAGGCTGTGATCGCTGCATCCTAAGGACACTTAGGGGGGCGGACACCTGGCGAACCCCTCAGCGCTGCCCCACGTCCCTGGGGCTCCGATCAGAAGGCCCGCGCGGGGCAGCCCGGGGACACGGACGCGGAGCGGGTGTCCTTTCCTCCGGCGCGGCGCGGGCCCACCATGCCCTGGCCGCGCTCCA